AATAAGAACCAAGAGACTCATGTAATGGTACAAGATCCCAATGATGAATGTAACTGTATTGTATACCTAAAATGTACCAATGAAGTTAATGGGGGACAAAAGAAAATAATGACACATTTTTCTTCTCCCTATCTCAATAATTTTAATGCCATTAATTAATACTCAGGAACCTTTATATAAAGCCCTAAAACCAAACAATTTCTAAGGGGGTGAGAAAGAAGGTTTAAAATTGGATAGAATAATGGAATTAATATGAGAAAATGAAAAAAATGGAAGCAAAGTCTTTATAAATGGGGGGGCATAGGGGCTGAAGGGAGGGTGGGGGAATGGGGAAAAATAAGAAACAAGATGGAGTATGTAAAGGTGCAAATGTTCAATGATGAATGTCATTATATTGTGTACCTAAAATGTACCAATAAAACTATGTGAAATTTTTGAAAATAGATATAATAATTAAGAAAGAGTATAAAGGTGGGAAAAATACTAAAGACAAAAAGTAAATTATCTGACTAGCCTTTCTCCCACTCCAGGAAATAACATAATTTTAGATATTTGGACACTCCTTTTTTTTTTTTCAGTGCAAGGGATGGACAAGTGTTGGGCAAGTGCTCTGCCATGCAGCCACATCCCCTGCCCTTCTCTGATTTTGCTTTTACATTCCACAGCATCCTCTGGGGTTTACATAGGGCCTCTCACATCGCAGCCTTTGGCTTTTTCAGAAACACAGGTGATATTCAGGAATGAGGGAGGGAAGAAAGGTAGAAATCTCACCCGTGGTAAAGTGAAATGCTTTGGAAAAGACTGCTCTTGTGACTGTCTTTGGCTACTGTGTGATTCTTCCACAGCTGTGACTCCTATAACCCAGTCATGCTTCCTGTAGACATCCCTGCCCCTCTGGACGCCTTACCGGAAGAAGACAGACTGGAAACTATTGAATGGTACTTTTGTTTTTGTTTTTGCCCTTACTCTCTGATGTGGTCTGTTTTCTAAAAATATGCAAGGTGCTCTGAGGGATTTCTGAAGAGCACTCAGCACCTGAGCTTTTGACCCAAATGAGCAGACAAGGCTGAGCCCAGCTATCTCGTCACCCATATCAGGCGATGGAAAACAGATCATCCCCGGTATGCTGACCATCAGTGCTCATAGGGCTCTTGGGAGGGGGAGCAGAGGTGGTCATGGGCTTGGGAGGATCTCATGCTCATGTGGACCTGGGTTGTTATGTGAAAGATGGGTGGGGTTTGGATAGGCATAAAGAAGTGTAAGCCCGAAAGCAGGGGGCTTGGGTTTGATTTTACTGATCAGTGTTCAATAGCCAGGGAGCACATGTCCTTTGAATCTTCTGTCCCTGTGGCCATTTAAACCTGGTGACTAGAGGCCCAGCAGTGCAGTGGCACAGCTGGAGTTTGTGACACTTGGAGCAGTCCTTCAATTTGCTGCCCACCAACATATCTGAATATGTTAACCTGCTTAAATACCACCCAAAAAATGTGCCACCCAGGATGGACCCCCACTCTCCAGCTACACCACTGAAATAGGAAACCTGAGGCAAACAGCACATGCGTGCCTGTCCAGGAGCAGCTTCTCCATCGTGAGCACACATGTGCCCCGCTAGACACCTACCATTGCCCTGTTTGCAAATGCCTCTGGATCACAGTCACTACTTTCTCCCTTTAAAAATATGCTTAACTCTTCATTATATCACTTAGAACCTTAGAAGAGAACCTTAGAACCTTAGAAGTTCCATATGTTTTACCAGGCACTTTATACCAAGCAAAATTAAAATCCATTTAAGTTTTCTAGTTTAATTAACCAAAATAACATAAAGTTTTAGATATACCTTCCCATATTGGTTTGTTTTTTGTACTATAACAAAATACCTGGAGCAGGCTAACTTTATGAAAGAAAAAGGATTATTCAGACCAGTTCTAGAGGTTCAAGGGTGTGGCACCACCATCAGGTCAGCCCTGGTGAGGTCTCTTGGGAGAATGGCCTCACAGTGATGGAAACACATGCCAGACAGGAAGCCAAAGAGAGATACAAGGCTCACCAACAACTTGTGTTTATTAGAACTAACTCAGGGTCCCCAGAAAGCTAACTTAATCTCTTCCAAGGACAGCACCTTCAGTATCTAATGACCTTCCATTGAACCAGCACCTCTCATCCACCACATTGATGACCAGGCCTCCCAACGCAAGAGCCCTTTGGTGTAGTCAAACCACATCCAAACCGTAGCACCATCTTTCATTAAAATTAGATTCCATCAGAATGACTTTGGAGCATCTGCAATGTTGTGCAGCACAGTGATTACAGGTATAGGCTGTAGGTCAAACCCCTGCCTTGCCACTCACTCTCAGTACACCTTGGGCAAGTGACTTCATTTCTCAGTCCCTCCATGTCCTCATCTTTAAAAGGGGGTGACCCAGGAACTACTAACTGGTTACTATGAAGAGCAATATGTGTAAAGTGTCTAGTAAAGTCCCTTACACATAGCAAGGTCCTGATAATTTGGGCTATTACCATTAATGACCTTGATATCCCAACCTCCCAGCCTAGGACCTGAGGCTCAATAGATGAGCATTTAAACAAATGTCCTTTCATTCAGTGCTAATAGTATAAGACAATAAGAAATACAGAAAATACATGGTTAAATTTCCAGAATACCAAATTAAGAGATAGTCACATTCCAAGAGGTTTCCTTCCATCTAGTGTTATGCCAAAATAGAAGATGAAGAAAGATTTCTGATATTTTCAATTTTTTAAATTTTTAATCTCAGGAGTGTAAAGGAACACTTGAATATATTGGTTTATCTGTGATGGCAGCTTTGGGTACAGCACAAAGGAGACTGCCAGCCTTACCTGACCAGATGACAGGCACAGGAGGAGGACCCTTGGCCCTAAAGTTCCTCCTTTATGCTATTTTTCCTCATCTTCTGTTACTGAAGATCCATTTTTTAGCTTTGTTCCCATTAAAGCAAAGATATGTCTGGGGCAGGGATACTTTGAGTCTCACCTATAACCCAGTATAATTCTCTCAAAATTTGGGGGAATTTAGGCTTGGGAGAGAGAGGGGCAGGAAAGATGGTGGAAATGAGAGGACTCCTAGTATAGTGACGAAGCCAGGAAATTTAAAAGAAGGTAGGGGTGAGAAGCTGAAGACAAACATGGCCAGCTTAACCACTGACCATGACCCAGAGGCTTCTGTGTGCTTGTTTGACTGAAGCAGAATTTTGACATGAGGAGTCTGCTCTCTGATCACTGTTCAGGCCAAATGCCCAGGCCTGTGCCTCGCTGATTGCTGCTGGGTTTGGTTCTGGCCCTGTGCCAGTGACAGCTCCATGTTGCTGTGATTTGGATCTCCAGTGTCCCTAGAGGCCCAGGTGTCAACTGCTTGATCCTAAGCTTGACACTACTGGGAGGGGGTGGAACCTATAAGAGGTGCGGTCCGGTAGAAAGAAGTCCAGTCACTGGGTGCTTGCACTTGTAAGGGATTTGGGGGACCCAGCCCTTTCCTGTCTCTCTCTCTCACGCCCAGCTGGCCATAAGATGAATAACCTTCCTCCACCACATGCTCCCACCTTGATGATTTCTACCAGGTTGAATTTTTTCTTTTTCTTATTATTTACATTTATTGATACAATTTACATATAATGATCACTTTCATCATATGGAATTTGTACCTGTACATGGTATATCTTGATGCTTTTTTTTTCCATTCCCCTCCTCTCCCTTCAACCTCTCTACCCCTCCTTATTTACAAGAGCTTTGTTTCCATTTCATCTTTCTTTTCTCATTGTTTTTCTTTTCCCTTCCTTCCTTTCTCTCTCCCGCCTCCCTAGTGCCCCTTCCCATTTGAACATTTTTTTCCCATTGCACAATGTCTATTATACATTTTGGTCCTTATTTACATTTTGTTTCCCACACCAGAGAAACAATGCAATATTTACACAGGTGTGTCTGATTTATTTCACTTAAGAATATGATCTCAAGGTGCATCCATTTACCTATAAATGTCTCAATTTTATCCTGCTTTATGGCTGAGTAGTACTCCATTGTATTTTAAAAAACCACATCTTTTTATTCATTCATTGGTTGATGGGCATTTGGGCTGTTTCCAAGATCTAGCTGCTATAAACATGGGTGAGCATATAGCACTGCGGTATGATGCTTTTAATTCTTTTGAAAAGATACCAAAAAGGGAGACAGCTGGGTCAAATGAAGCCACTAGTCCTAGTTTTCTGAGGAATCTCCACACTGATTTCTACAGTGGTTGCACCAGTCTACACTCCCACCAAGTGGAGAAGGATTCCTTTTTCACCACAGCCCCACCAGCATTTGTTACTGGTTAATTTCTTTTTTTGGTTAATTTCTTAATAATAGCCATTCTTTCTGGCATAAAATGGAATCTCAGTGCTGTATTAATTTGCATCTCTCCAATGATCAGTGATGTTGAACACTTTTTCATATATTTATTTGCTATTTGTACTTCATCTGAGAAGTGTGTATTCATCTCAGATGCCCATTTTTTGATTGGGCCTTTACATTTGGGGAATTTGATTTTTTTTCAGTTCTTTATATATTCTAGATATTAGTCTTTTGTCTGAGGAACAGCTGGCAAAAAGTTTTCCCACTCTGTTGGTTGTCTCTTCACTCTGTTGGTCATTTCTTTTGCTAAAAGCTTTTTAATAAGATGAGATCTCAGTTGTTGATTCTTTGTGATATTTCCTGGATGATTAGGGTTTTGTTCATAAAGTCTTTGCCTACACTTATGTCTTCAAGAGTTCTGCCTATTCTATCTTCCACCAGATTTAGTGTTTCTGTTTCAATATTTAGATCTTTGATCCATTTTGATTTTAGTTTAGTGCATGGTGAGAAACATGGGTCTAGTTTTAGTCTTTGACATGTAGATAGTCAATTTTTTCAGCATCATTTATTAAAGAGGCTACTTCTTTTTTTTTTTTTTTGGTATCGAGGATTGAACTCAGGACCTTGCACTTGTGAGGCAGGCACTGGAACCACTGAGCTAAAAATGTACCAATTATTAGAATGAATAATCGATAATGTAAAATACGAATAAAAGGTCCAAAGGGGTAGGGGTAGTGGGAGGGGCAGGGGAAAGGAAAGAAGGGAAAGGAAAAAATGATGAGAAATGGAGAAAATGGAAATAAAGTCTTTGTAAATAGGGAAGGGTGGAGGGCATGAAGGGAGGGCTAGGAATGGGGATAAAATAAGAACCAAGATGCATTATATAAAGGTACAATTCCCAATGAGAAATGTAATTGTGTTGTATACCTACAATGTACCAATAAAAGAATTTAATTAAAAAAAAAAAGAGGCTATCTTTCTTCCAGTGAAGGTGTTTGGCCCCTTTGTCAAAGATAAGGTGGCTAAATGTATTTGGAGTTGTTTCTGCATCTTCTAATCTGTTCTATTGATCCTCATGTGTGGGTTTTTTTTTTTCTTGCCAGTACTACATTGTTTTTATCACAGTAGTTCTGTAGTATACAAGTTAGGGATTTTAATGCCCTCTGCCTTACCTTTGTTGCCCAGAATTGTTTTTACTATTCTAGGTTTCCTCTGGTTCCCAATGAATTTTAGGAATGTTTTCTATAGTTCTGTGAGATATGCTATTGAAATTTTGATTGGGATTGCATTAAATCTGTGTGAGAATTTTGGGACTATTGCCATTTTTACTATGTTAGTTCTTCCTAACCACAAGCAAGGGATATCTTTCCATTTTCTGATAGGCTCTTTGATCTTCTTTTTCAGAGTACTGTAGTTTTCAATGTAAAGATCTTTTACTTCCTTTGTTAGATTGATTCTTAAGTATTTCATTTTTTTCAAGGCTATTGTGAAAGGCATGGTTTCCCTAATTTCTCTCTCAAAAGGGCTTGTTATTTGTGCACAGGAATGCTATTGATTTTTTAGTGTAGATTCAACA